CATGGATCATATATCACCCATCTAAGTAGTTTAAAGAGGGAATTGCTAGAAAGTCACTACATGATGCTTCAATTCCCCAACAAACAAGCCAAATGCAACGGTTTATAAAAAAATAAAAAAGCCTTTGAAGAAACCAAGCTACAGTACACAGATAATGAGCTCAAAACCCTTACCAGCAGGTCTGAGAGGTGATCAGAACCAGAGCTGAAGCCGCTGGTCTCCGAGTCCACAGGGCTAATGGAGTGAGATTCCAGGAAAGATTGAGAATTCAAGCGTGCCATGCCGGGAAATTTTTCTAGGAAGTCTATAGCACCAATGGAAGGCTCAGAGTAGCTTGGAAGCTTGTTGGAGAGCCGGCTGGGAGTCCCCAAAATCCCTTGCACTGAACAAATATGGTTAAAAAAAAAAAAAAAAAAAAAAAAATTAATACGGCCTGAAAGAAATTTAAAAAAAACAAAAAAACAAACAGATATTTTTCTTAGCCAAACCCCCAGAACAAATACGAGCATAATTCAAGAGCCAAAACCAAAAACAAATGAAAAGGACAGCTCTCTTATTGCAGCACTACTAATGAGAACTACCAGCACATGAGGCAGGCCGAGAATCTGTGATTAACGTCAACAAAAGGCTCTGACTCACTGTTACAGGCCTAGTGAGAACGGTCTAAACATGCTCTAGTCAGGACAAGGCTATCAATAAAGACCCAGAAAGAGACTCCACAAAGACGACTCCGTTTTATAACTAGAATAGTTATAAAGTCAGTTTTAAAGCCCACTTAAAAACAATTACGATTCACTCAATCAGTATTGCATAAATAGGGTCACTTCAACGGTCATTTAACATTGTATCAACATTATCATATGGTTGTTTAATGTTATTCATTCCACTCACGCGAGGCTGTGTTGGTCTGTGCAGAGGGATCGGTGTCATGGCTGCTCCACGGTCTCTCCCAGTCAGACAGGCTGAGGGACTGTAGGCCCAGACCCCAGTTATTGACATCAGGCAGACCCCTGGATGAGTCCTGGCCACCACTGGGAAAAAGCATCCTGCTCCGGACCGCAGACAGGTCTGAGTCGGGACGATCTGTTAACGGTGTCCAAAAATAAAACACACTGTTTGGCGACTCTGCATCAGCAGTGGGAATAAGAGGCATGCACATTAGAGAAAGCATTGGCTCCCTAGGCTCTGATAAATCACGGCTCGCCTCCCTCTGCCTGGCTAAACTGCACAGGAGCAGCTGTCTCTGCAGAGACGACCCACCCTGCATGTGACCCAGGCGCTGCTGCCCTCACAGCCCCTTGCAAATGACATCAGTCCCTGGCCTCCTCGGATGCCACACCACAGAGCACTCCTGATAAATTCCCCTGCAAAGAGGCAGCACCCCCTCCCACCTCTGGCTCAGACACTCGAGGTGGCAGGGAGAGAGAGTTTGCCGCTAGCTGCAGGCTAAGAGACAGAAAACTCGAGTGAATCGCAGGACTGTTGCTATTGGCTAAGTAGCTGAAGAAAGAGCAATCTGGGCTGCTCATGCAGAGCTGGACTGCATCCAACTGCTTGCTCCAGCATCCTGCGTCTCGTCAGCATGACATTGCACGACCAGTGCTGTAATGATTTCCTGTGCACATGATGTTCGAATGCAGGGCCAAAGCTGAAGGGGCAAACAGCAATGCAGCAGATACACATGAACGTAGGAAGCGGAAAAGAGTGACAAAAAGGGTACAGCTCTGCATTTGTTATCATGCCTGCACATATATTAAATGAATTGTTTACTTGCACTTGTTCATAGTCTACTACCTCAATTAAAAATTGCATCTCTTTGTACACAAAATATGGTTTACCATTAAAAGGGTCTCGCTTGCATTTGGCAGTGGGAGTCGTGCAAACCCCGCTTAGATCCAATGAGTTTCCCAGCATGGTGTTCATCCTGGAGAATGCGTCTGCATTACTGCATGTAGACAGGGCTGGAATGTCAGAATCCAGGCAGTTAAGAAGTCTGGGGTTTTCACGCTGTCAGAACAAAACAGATATACATCACAGAAATGGTGAAACATAGGCCTGACTCTTACCTTGCCTCACCATTTTATGTTCAGCTAGCAAAACAGGATGTTATAAGTTTGAAGGTGAGGAGAAATTAATTCTAGTACACCACTGTCACTACTAGAGTGATGGAGAGCAATATGCTTAAGTTAATTTGCCATGCACGCTGTTAAACTGAACTACAAAGCAGCCAATGATTACATTAGACAAGCCCAATCAATGGCAACTATATTAATGGACCTCTATCTCGCTGTAAACAATCATTAATCATGACAGATACAGGTTAGCTAGCATTTCTGAAAAAGATTGAGCAGTTAAGTTTTACTTAAAAAAAATAAAAAATTCATTAAGACAGTAAACGCGGACCAAACAATCACAAACGAAACATTTAACACGCTCACACAAATCTAAAGGCTCTTTAAGAAGGCAAGATTCAAATCCGAACTGGCACCAAAACTCACCAGAGAAAACGCCATGGTAGGACTATCAACCAAAATTATCGAAAACAACACCCTATTTACCGCTCAAAAAGTCTACTTAAACCTTTCGAAGGAAATTTTGGCCTAATTTACAACACCTGTACTCGGGTCAAGCACCTCTACTCTCCCGGGATCCAGTTCTTCTCGAGTAACCAATCACAGATTACATATTGATATTTATTCATGAGGGGCGGGCACTTGACGCGCACGTCATTTTTCCATAGGCTAATTTACTGTTTCAAAACCCACCGTATCTTTTTTTAAATGCCCCTTATTACAATATTTCTGCTTCCCGTCTGAGTTTCATTTTTTCATACCAGTTCATTCTTCTTATTCAACGAATGTTATAGCTGGTCGTGTTGTGCATTTAAGAGCCGTCGAGATTGATGAATATATTTAGATCTGAAAATAAATTCGATGACTTATTTTGACATGATCTAAATCTAAATGTTCTAATATGTACCTAAAAGTTCAATGCGCGTGCGGCATGCTGTCTTAGTACTTGAAGCGTCACGTCACGTGTAAATTTCTTTTATTGACAGAAATCAGGACCATGGAGAGCAGCATTTATAAACGAGGTATATTTCAAAGACAATTTATATATTATGGAAAAATAAGACAAATACAGTAAATACAAGTGTTCAACAGGCACATTGCTAGGGTGCTCAATAACTTTCAGGGCCTATAGCTTATTTAAAACAAATTACAAAAACTACCGCATCACTTCCTCCAGAGGGCAGCACTTACATTGTTTCTTACCGTCTTCTGCTTAAAGTATAGTTCACCTCAAAAGTAAATGTTTCATGTTGTTGTAAACCTGTTTGACGTTCTTTAATGATACAAAAAGATATGCTAGACAGAACGAGATGCTTTTTTTGGCATGGAAAAAAACAGCAACTTAATATGGCATGTGAGGCTGTCAGTCCATGACATTCTGCTTAACATCCCGTTTTGTGCTCCATGGAAGAAAATTATGCAGATCTTGAGGCACATGCACATGAGGGAGAATAATAGAATACATTTTTAGGTGAAGTCTGTGAACGACCCCCCTAATTCTGGATGTTTAATCTGACTACATGATGCACCCATGCAAGTTGCTGAAATGTGAACAAAAATGTAGTGCACAGTTCAGTATCACAAATAAAAGTACACAAGGCATTTTAATGCATTCCCATTTTAATACTATATCATACAGTAGTATTTTTGTACACAAACACCTTTTTTTTTTTTTTACAAATACATTTCTAATGTCTGAATTAACCATTACTATACCCACATTAAAAATCATGCACCAATGTAGCATATCTTTATATTCAGAGTATTAACTTGAAACAGCAATTTCATGTTAGCAGCAAACTTGCCGTTCATATACTGTTAGTTTTGTGCCGCACTGACACAGTCTAAACCAAAAAATTACAACTTAACCTCTGAAAATGCTATAAAAGGACATTGATACAAAAACAGAAACACAAAGAAAGAGTTACCAATAAATTATACAGATTACTCATTTCAATTGCACAAACTCTTCTTTCCCCAGGTACACACTCTAGATTGAGAATGTGTCATATTTTGTAAAGTCATCAGACCATCTGTGATGTGTTACAGTGGAACCTAGCAAGGGAAACCATCTGTCTGGACATCATATTACCCAAAATGAGTCGACCACAGTTTTGTACATAACATAAGCAACTCCAATGACCAAGCTACTAAACACAATACAAAATGAACAAGGTTACACCGGTCATGGAAGCAACAAACCTACTACAATGACGCACAGAGCAATGCTTCATGCCAAAACCAACATGCTCAATGTCAGCTTCAGTTGATAGTCTCGTTTTACTTAGACCCAGAGCAAATCTCAATGAGGAGAGGAAAAAAAAAAAAAAAAAAAGTTTTGTGCCGCACTGACACAGTCTAAACCAAAAAATTACAACTTAACCTCTGAAAATGCTATAAAAGGACATTGATACAAAAACAGAAACACAAAGAAAGAGTTACCAATAAATTATACAGATTACTCATTTCAATTGCACAAACTCTTCTTTCCCCAGGTACACACTCTAGATTGAGAATGTGTCATATTTTGTAAAGTCATCAGACCATCTGTGATGTGTTACAGTGGAACCTAGCAAGGGAAACCATCTGTCTGGACATCATATTACCCAAAATGAGTCGACCACAGTTTTGTACATAACATAAGCAACTCCAATGACCAAGCTACTAAACACAATACAAAATGAACAAGGTTACACCGGTCATGGAAGCAACAAACCTACTACAATGACGCACAGAGCAATGCTTCATGCCAAAACCAACATGCTCAATGTCAGCTTCAGTTGATAGTCTCGTTTTACTTAGACCCAGAGCAAATCTCAATGAGGAGAGGAACTTGAGCGCAATAGATATAAGAGAACAGAAAAGGCCATTTGCTAATGACATGCATGTGGTGGTGGATTAGTTTCTTCTTGTGTTTTCCTAAGATCTACTCTAGATGTGTAGCTACAGAGTGTGTGTGCCTGTCTGTCTCTGCAGTGTGTGAACTACCGTGTCGGCCATAAACTTACATGGGTCCCGTGCTATGAAGTGCGCTCCTAGAGCTGGGTGGATATGTGTGGGATTCGGAGTGCCCATCAGCTTACTCTTTGCCATCTTCGTGTTGGCCTTAGCAAACTCTAACCGGAGGGTCTGCGGGTTTTCAGGGTCAAATCGAACACCCTGGAGACACAAGGGGGGGGGGGACAGAGTAATGGGGATGGGTTGTGCCTGCCAGACCCTGGTATAAATGTGAAGTGCATCTTAAGCTGGTGCCCACATGCAGTGAACATTTCTACTAGTGACTGAACAGCAAAGCTGTTACCTAAACAAAGGTGGACACATACTACACGCCAAAGACAAGGAAAACATTAATAGTACTCAACTGTAGAGTGGGTTCTCTGAATCATGACGCTTAGTAACTCTTGAAATAAACATTATGCACTTATTTGTGATGTGCTGGAACAGATCCTCTTACCTAATGTATACGAGACATCATAAGCTCACCATGGTTTAAGGTTAAATTATATAAAGAGAAATGGATGTAAGCTATGGCCATGTGCTGTACAAATTGCAAGTAGAAAAGGCATGTTCTTAAGGTATACGAGTAGACAATGCATCTAAACCACACCAAGTATGAACCTAGCTGGGAATCATCCAACAGGTTTTCAATAATTCAAGCCATTGCTTACAGATGGCTGGTTTCTTACATTTAATGCATTTTTTGCCACTTCAGCGCCAGAACGACTATCAAAGGTTACAAACCCAACAGGCTGGAAAAGAAAGAAAGAACAAATCAATGACCACACTGTCACTTATGAAAAACACAAAAGACATGGTAATGTAATTTTTTTTCATTACTATTAATAAAAAATCTAAATGTGATTGATCACTATGCAGTCCTAAATTTAGGTTTACAATCACTGAAAAAAAAAAAATTAGGCATGACTGCAGCACAAATGCAAAAGTATATATAACACAGGCCTGGTCAGCTGTAATATCCAACAGTGTCTCACCTGCTTTGATGTTAACTTGATAAGTGAACCCTCATAACCCTGAAAAAGAAAATAAATCCAATTAGCAGCAATGTAGTCACATGCTTGAAAAGAAAGAAATTCCTGCTGCACTCCCCATAAGAGGCCAACATTGTCAAATAGAGACATTTACAGAGGACGCACTTTACTGCACTGCTAACCTGTGCGACTGGAGCTCAACATCTCTGCTGCTAAACATTATACCAATTCTTACAAATCTAACACCGTTTATAAACTTGATTATTCCCCTCCAGTTAATTCATTGTTGCTTGGGTGACCATAATTAGGAGCTAAGACCTAAGGGAGGTAACAGAGTTTTGACTAAACACTGTCAATGAGATTTACCATTTAAAACATCTGTTTTTACCTTAAATGGTCGAAATAGCAGATAGAGCTCACGAGGTTTGATATCTGTCGGCAGACCACTGACAAATAGAGTTCGTACCTGTAAAATACAAGAAATACATCAAATACCTAACATATTTCAAATATATGTGAAAAAAAATACTAGATAACACAGAAGGATATAACTTAACACAGAGAACAGAAATGAAAAAAGTGATTAAGGACCATTGGAACTCAGTTAGCATGAACTTAAAATAATTAAAAAGAAAAAAAAAGAAAAAAAGTAAAGAGAAAAAAAGCTCAGTTTGCAATGAACTAAAAAATACAAAAAGACAGGCATTGTATTTTAAAAAGACTGGCAGCTTTATAACTCAAAATACGGCAATTTACAGTACAAAGATTCAAGACAAACGTGTTTATGGCCACATTCAGCTAAACAGCTATATAAAAAACAAATGTGCATCCACTCGCTTTGATTTGGTGGGAGGTTCAAAGCCACAATGGATTGCCAGTGGAACAGCAATGGACAACATCGCACAGCGTGACAGCACTTCCTTCCTCTGACCCACAGCAACAACACCATTCCTCGGCTCTCAACCACAGCTCCAGAACCCCTCACCTCTACACCTTAATGCGGTGCGTCACATGTACATTCTAGTAGTCATAGATTAAGGTTTAATTTAGCTAAATAAAAAAAAATTAAGCTTCATGTTTAGGAAAATTACTTAATTCAAACAGCTGCAAGTGATGGACATCCACAATCCAAAATAGAGTTTTTGAAGTTGTGCATTATGTAATTATTATTGTGTGTCTTTTTCGGTCACTGCCGAGATTGGATAAAAATGGTCTGCATAATAGCAGCAGTGCAAAAAAAAAATAATAATAATAACAAATTATACATGTGCATGTGTGTACCTACTTAACCATATTTTGGGGCCAAATTTGTACCCAAAAGTGAGCAAAACCTGACAAAAATCACCAAAAAAAACTCAATTTGGGTACGTCCTCATTTGTAAAACTGGTATAAAAATAAAGTAAAGTAAAGTTGTTTTTTTTAACTGTAAAAATGCAGAAAGTTTTCTGTTAGGGGTAGGGTAGGGGAAGGTTTAGGTTAAAAAGCATATATCTGTATATAAAAACAATAGAAGTCTATGTAATGTCCACATTTAGATAGCCAAGCAAACGTGTGTGTGTGTGTGTGTGTGTGTGTGTGTGTATAAACGGTTTAAAAAACAAATGGGGCTAACTGAAACATTCAACAGGTTTATATATAATCATATATTTAATAATTATATCCATCTATCTTTTTTTAACTGTTTGCATTTTAAAAGCGGTTCATGAGGAAACCACTAAATAGTTGCACCGTGCTGCATTACGACCATTACAAAATTCTCTCTCAGTGACGCTGAAGCCAATTTTAAACAATTCGGTTATTTGCGCGTTTACTTAACAGCTTGAGACAAACTAAAGCACTACATCGACCGAGAGGCTTTCAAACAAGTACTTTAACAAGTAGCCTATGTATTTTAATCAATAAGAAATTGGCCAAAAAGGAAACAAAAAGACAAAAACTTCACACATGGAGCAATTTAACTCCCTGGATATTTAAAGGAAAAGCAATTAACATACCGCTGAACAAAAAGACAATCTATCAAGGAAAATAGGTGGTCATTAAATTAACGGGAAACAATTCATTTTCATCCTAAATTATTAACTTCAAACCACCGTGTTTTAATTCTCTTTAGTAACTATTTCCTTACTTTTCCCTGACAGCAAAAACTTCACGGAGAGACGCTGAGGCTCCCGTTTCACACTTCAAAAGTTGTCGACATATAACGTTAGACAGATTTACGCTTTACAACAGCTCAGTGGCTCATTTAAAACACCGAACTCTCACCTCTTCTTCAATAGAGACGTTGTTGTTTGGCTCGGAGTCAGACTTGACACTCATCTTGTGCGTAAACTTGACACCCAGAAGGACCGGCAGAAGTTTCGTTTTTTTCCGCGTCCTAAAGTGCGGCTAGATCCTGATGGCGATCCGTGCAGGACTCAGCAGAACTCGTACGGGAACAATGAGGTCGTGTCAAAAGTGCCAGGTGAACCGAAGACGCCAAGGTGACTAGGTGGAAAAAAGTGCAGTGCGTGGTGGGGGGGAAGAGAAAAAAGAGAAACGGCGGTGCCACCTCACATTTACCTCGTTTTAAATGTTAAATTTCAAAGAAAGCAGAGCTCATGGGTAAAACCTGTTCCATAGTTGACCTGCTCGCCAATTAGGTCATCAAGTGAGATGGGGCAGGCTCGAGAGCGGCGTTGCAGCTGGTGGATAAGCCAACCCCTCCATTAGTGAATCATCGCCTTCATGGGAATGCACGGACCAATTGGAACCGCTCCTTTTATTATTGGAGATATCTCATATCAACTGTATCAGGAGGAGGGAGGGGAGTAAATAAATAAAAGAGAGAAATGGCATATTAATACGTTTACCCAAAAGATATAAAAACTTTGTAAAACTAACTTTAAAGTTTCTTTATGGGGGCCGTTGTGAAAGGGTCAGGGTGTAGCCTATACATCCTCTATTTGTTTGTTGAAAAACTGAGCTATTCCTAAAATAACCCTGACATTTGAGTGCACTTAATTATGGGAACATCTGTTTAAAAGGAAAGCTACTTGTCTTTTCCCTTTAAACGCGGCAAGGCACGCACAATACAGGGAACCGTCTATTAAAAATCGGCCTTTAAAGCTCATACATTTTCATGTTAGACTGTTTGCACCTTCAACTGGTCTTATGTCCCGTTTCCTGACATTGTGTAGTCACACAAAGTAAAGGAGCTTGTTGAAGTGGCGGGGAGCGGTGGAGGTTGAGAACATGTCAGGTTTTTTTTTCTTGATTGACCTAGTGTTTTGTTTTGTATAATCTGTCTAAATATAGACAAAGCCTTTCTTGCCAGGCCTCTCTCATTCCATTGTACATAAGGGAACTATGAACTATTTATAAATCCTACAGATGTTTATATACAGACTTGCAGTTTGTTTGAGGGCCTGTCTTATAGTAACTGCTTAATTTGGTTACAAGCTCTAAACTGGATGTGTTTAAAGCTTTAATGTACTACCAAATAGCTTGGAAAAACATTTACCAACAACTTAAAATGAAAAGTTGACCACCCTGATGTCAGTTTTTCCATTAACACTCATTCTAATAGTAACCTATGCCTCTTGTCTTGTTCTCAGGGGTTTAAAAATAAGTCAAACAGAGCACAGAGGTACAAAGTGCCAAAGATGATTATACAGTAGACAGACTGATAGACATATCAGTGCCAGGCTCTTAAAGAATGACAAGTGTACAGATTGGCTGAGTGCAGACATGCCACAGCCAGAAGGGTGCTGGCATTCGTCTGACACATTGCACTGCAAAGTGACATTCAAAACCAATGGTTTTAAAAATATTTAATCTCCTTCTAGTAGTCTATAAATCAAAGAAACATAACATATGATCATAAAAGTGACAGGTACAGCTAATCCCTGCGAATTATCTGAAATATTGTTAATTGACATCCCATTTCTTGTCATCTCCTTGTTAGTGGTGAGCTCCCCGACACAAAGCCTGTACAGTGGGGCCAGAATCCTGTGATGAGGCCTTCATGTTTTATTGGAGAAGAGCAGGCCCATTGTCCCAAAAGCCACCTCAAACCACACTCCTCCTCCTCACACCTCACTGGCCCCGTCCCATCGCATCAGTGTCATAGAGCTCCACAGCACTTAGCTTGTGTTCCCTGTGTCCTCTGTGCCTCACTGCATATCCACCATTTACTCCAGCTCTCCTTCTTTCAGCTCCGAAGAGACGTTCAAGTCTGATTGAGGAAAAAAAAAATGTTCCTTTTGGAAAGGCTTTATCACTTTAGATGTGCATAACTGATGACGTTATTGAGAGTTTTTAGATTTTGATTCATGTTGTGAGTGACGACTCTTGAGTGATGCATCCACATTAATAGGCCACAAATAATGTTTAGCTTTTTTCCATCTAGTCAGCAGGATTGCATCGATGTACAGACTGGAATACACTACACAACTTTTGTACAGATTTTTTGCCCCGATTTAGAGTCACTAGTTGCCAAAAGGCAGAGCCAGTTTTAGATTTGAGGTGACAGATTTCATAGAAAATCACATAGTGTATGATGGGCACATGGGGACTTTTTTAGCTTCAGACTATGATTCCATCCAGCGGGAGGAGATCAAACATGTTTGATATTTTGAGCCGGTTTTAGAACATGTATTGTTTTCTGTAATGCATCTCTGAGTCTGAACGACTTTAAAGTCCGGTAGTGTGTGATCCTTAGTTGTTCAGTCTATTATGCCCAGTTTTTCTTACTTACCATTTACAAAGTTGACAAGTGTATGATGCCTGGTGTTTTAAAAATCTGTTACAATTTTAAAAGTTGTGTAGTGTATTCCAGCCTTAAGGGGATTTCTCCATAACAGACTGAAATTCCCTGGTTTTAACGCCTTCGCTGAATTGGCAGCACACACAGACATTGGTCATCATGTCTCATTGTAACATCAGCTTAATGTCCAACTGGGATTCGAACTGTTCTCAGTCTCAGGAAACCTTCCTACTCTGCCAGTTTAGACACCAAGCACCTAAAAAACAAAGTCACCACAGTTCATTGCCTCATGGTCGGGGACATTTTGCCACTATAAAAACAAACCACTGGCGTAGAATCTGGAATAATTGTTGATGCAGAGCTGGATAAAACAAGCACAAACAGAATAATGGTAAGTGCTGCTTGCATCAATACAGTCTATTTCCTGTTTACTTCTTGATGGCCTCTTTTGCTTCTTGAAGCAATGAGAACTTGTGACCAAAGGATATTAGTATACCCTTTAGCTTTCTCTTGCATCTATATTCTCTTGAACTGCCAAGACAGAGTTGACAAAAGCACTTGTGTTAATCTGTCATTTCCTCTATTGCCATCTGTCTTTTCTTATATGAAAGAAAAGAAAACAACCCCATGAAAGTACGCACAAATGATAACTAATGGTTTTGTTAGTTCCAAGCAATCAGAATATCTTTTAAAAACTGTATTTGTTTTTTCTTTAGTTCACATATTAGTTCAAGTTTTACTATGTCTTCTTGATTCAAGAGCTATTTATTTTATGTCCTCCCTCATATTTTCACAAGAGATCCCATGTTTCCTGTTTAAATTTGGAAAATTGCACATAAAAGGTTATGCTGTTAAAACAAAGGGCAACACATTCCCAGAGAGACAAATTAGGATCTGATACCATGGGACCCTGGCGTTTTGACGCTGTCTTACATAAACATTCCATGCATTTAGAAAATACAATCCCAGCCAAACTGTTTGTTAAATAAGGAACATCTCATGAAGACTATGTATAATGTAAAAACCAAGAACTGAAATAGTAAATATTTTGATGGGAACATCAAAATTTGGCCATGTTCCTTGTGCCTAGACTGGCTGCCAAACAGGACAAATTATAACAAACTCCCAATGCTCGATCTCAGTGCTCGATCTCAAATAATTGGGCTTAGCTACTGAGAGAAGCAAACATGAGTTACTGTTTATTGTATTCAGACAAATGTGAACAATTTGAATGAACTGAGTCTGTCCAATGTGAAAAGACAGAATGATTATCTTTAATAATACTAATAAAAAGATTATAATTATTAAAATTATTGTTCAAATTATACAGTAAATTATTTTACAATTTTACAATTTGAGTCTACAAGACAAAATGCACAAGAATAAAAACTCTGACCAGTTCTCCAGTGTTTTGGAAGTGTGCTAAGCTGAGCCTCAACAATATTTGTGTTATTTGTATTTAGAAAATATTGAATCAGATTTTAGGTCATGTACAACATCATTGAATAGACCTTAGTCAGGGAAGATGCCATACTGAATTTTACAGGGATGAAAACGTGGCTGAGGGACAGGCTTTACAACGGTACTCACTAGTAAAGGAGGTAGAGCTTTTTCGCATTTGGCTCCCAAACTCTGGAATAGCCTTCCTGATAACGTTCGGGGTTCAGACACACTCTCTCTGTTTAAATCTAGATTAAAGACACGTCTCTTTGGCCAAGCATTCAAATAATGCATCTCATAATCTTGTACTGCAGTTATATCTGATCAAATGCACATTATTATTCTTTAGTTTGGGTTAAACAAATCAAATTTGCTTGGTTAGAACAGCAGCTACGCTAATTATGTCTCTATTTGTTTCTCTGTTTTTGCCACGGGATTGACATCCCGTGGTAACTAGGATTTACACAAGCTTCAGTCTGGATCCAGAACACCTGAGAAGAGATGATGCCAACCCTCAAACAACATACAGAACTACCACAATTTGCTATAAGTTTGATTGCATCATATAATAATTGCTGTTAATAGTGTTCATCGTCTGTTTGATTACATCTTTAATTTATTTTTCCGTACATTTCTGCCATATGTACATTAACTGACAGTCACCACTGATAAGCTACCACTAAATACTGTAGAAACTTAATTTGCTGTAAAGTTGCTTTGCAATGATTTGTATCGTGAAAAGCGCTGTACAAATAAACTTGACTTGAATTGAAAACTTGAACTAGGTCCAAGATCACATAATTTTTACAACTCACAACTTTCAACTTTTTTTTTGTGAAAAGATGTTTCATCAGCTTAGCAGCATGTTGTTAAAATACTAGTCCAATCCATGGAAAATGCTGTACTTCTGTCCTTCACAGCCTCGCATAAAGTTTAATATGGCACTACCCTGAAGTCTATGAGTGCACAAATGAAAGTTTTTGTAGCAATGAAGTATTGAAACTTGATTTTAGGGGACGGTCACCATCAGCAAGGCTTTTTTAAGACTTACCACGCAGCACAAACAGCTTTTGAGACCCACTTTTCTGGTGGCTCAAGCAGAACTTCATATAGCCATTTTAAACCTCTCGCACAGCACAGACTGCAAAGTAGAACTGCAGAAACACAGAAAAATCAGTCAAGAGGAACTGATCTCATCAAATATTAAACAGAAGTCGGGGGAGTGATTCAGTGATGCATGGGACTGTTAAGGGCTGGATAAGGGGCGTGCATGATGGAGCTTAAGTGGGCCAGTGCGTATGCATATGTTAAGATTTACCTTCTCAATAGATACGAGAGCAATAGTAAAGGTTGTTAAAATGAAAATGGTCACAAGACTCATCATTTGGTATTCCAAAAATGTGAACATGTTGTGAAGACTAACTTTCATAGTTTAATATTGCAACTGCCACTGTTTTTTTTTTTTTAAATAACACCCCATATTCTCTTGAAACCGTTCTGATATTCTCCCCACATCAGTCTATCTCAGTTTAAGCAGTGTTTTATAGACAGTGCGGACAATCATGGAATCACTAGAAAAGTCAGTACA